ATTTCTTAATTTTGTTAAAATTCTAAAAAAAAAAAAACCAACTAGTTTCATAAAAAATTATTTTAAATTGTCAACAAAAGTTTTGCCTTTCCCCACTTTATTTTTCTGGCTCTACCTATGCGTGTGGTTTAGGATTTTGCTATATAATTTAATATTTTTTGGGGCCGTTGAGGAAGATTTTGATTAGCTTTATATGAAAAGGTAAAAGTAATAAGAAGCAGCACGTGCAAAGAAAGAGATTGGCCCGATCGGACCCACTAGTAGAAAAACTAACGTGGACGAGTACAATTGCCTACTGCTAGCGCGTCAAACCAGAGACCACTCCCTCGCCCGCTCTACTCAATAAAAGCCAGCTTGCCTCAATTAATTTTCTCCATATAGCAGCAATGGCCGAGGAGGTTTGTGCTAAATTTATACTACTCCATTTTTTTTCCTTTCTTTTCTGTGGCTGTTATACCTCTCTCTCTCTCTCTTGATGAAAATTAAGGATATATATATATAGTTATGTATTTTGGTTTGATGCATATATATGGCACCCTAATTTTAATTTGCTCATATTTAATCATTTTTCTGAAATTAAATTCCTTGTCTAATAATGATGCTGCATGGCATATATATATATATATATATACTTTTACAGGTGACAACAATGGTGCTGAATGTAGTGGATCTACAGTGCTCAAAATGCTACAAAAAGATCAAAAAACTTCTCTGCCAATTTCCTGGTGATGACTCCCTTTCTTCAATTAATATTGTTCTCTCCTAATTAATTAATACATAATTTGTGTACGTATATGTATATCAATATATGGATTGATTAGCCAAGTGGACTGAGTCGTTGTGTTGTGAACAAATTAATTAAAGAAATACGAGATCAGAAGTATGATGAGAAGGCAAACAAGGTGACAATTAAGGTGGTGAGCTGCTCGCCGGAGAAGATCAGGGACAAGTTATGCCGCAAGGGTTGTGGATGCATCAAGAGCATTGAGATCCCGCCGCCGCCTCCACCTCCTGAGAAGCCTCCGCAGAAGCCTCCTCCTCCGCCTCCGGAAACGCATGTGAATGTATCTGTAGATCTGCAAGTCCTATGCGTTCTGTGTTATGGGAGATCCGTTTGGGACAGCTGGTGCGGTTGTGGAGAAACTCAACCAGGCTGCTCAATCATGTAAATACTAATAATAAGACTGTGTTTGGTATCCAGCCAAGTTAAATCCAATAATAAGTAACTGTTGTTTTACAAATTAGATTTAGAATTTAAT